ACTGTTGGAAATTGTCTATTTATCCCACCATTTATTTGTTCTGGCCTATTCTCAGCCCCTGAATATAAGTTCCCCGACCGCAGGAACACCGTGGGCTCGTTCAGTTTTGTTTTCCAGCGCCCAGGGCAGGGGCCGGCACAGAGAGCTCTCGGGAATGTTAGAGGGGGGTGGGGGAGCGTCGGTGGGAGGACCTGGTCCATTTGGGTCTTGGGAAGACCTTGGGTGACCAGGCCCCTGAGGGCCCAAAGAGGGCGCAGGGTGGCCGGGAGGGGAAGAAGTGGCCCGGGGCCTGTCCTGGGGCATTGTCCCACCACATTCTTGTGGGCATGGACTTGCCCATGTTCCCTGAGCTGCCTCCTTTCTCTGGGGAGAAGGACCCCTCTCCTGGGAGCCTGTCCCTGACTGCGGCGGCCAGTGCCTTTCCCACAGTTCACGCCTCTCCTCGCTCTCTCTCAGAGCTGGTGCCCGTGGGCCTCCTCATGTCCTGTCTGGGGCAGGGCTGGTGTGAGGCCTGATGTGGGCCCAGCAGCAGCCCTCCCAGGGGGTGCGTCCGGTGGGGGCAGCTGCATCCAGGAGGGTGGTCAGTCTGCACAGGGAGCTTGCTGGGGGGGGGCCTGGGACCAGGTCCAGAAAGCTGCGGGAGCCGGGGCACTCCGGGGAGCTCACCCTGCTGCCCAGGGGAGCAGCCCAGCTCTGTGCTGGTCTGCCGTCTCGGGAATTCTCTGGAGCAACAGCGGGTAGTGGCTTTTGGGGGCAATGGGGTAGGGAGGGGTTGCAATCCCAATCACTTACAGGGAGGAAAGGACTTTTGTGGGCAAAGTGGGATTCCGTGGCCCATTCCCGGCCGTGACAGGAGGGCTGGGAGCTTGGCTTGTGCTCTGCACTGCTCTCTGGCCGCCCGCTCCCCACCCAGTGAAGCTGACCAAGAGCTTCAGGGAAAGGAGGCTGAGAGTTGACCTTTTCAGCCACGTGGGAGCAGGCGGCTGTAGCCAGGGGCTGTGCTCCCTGGGGAGTGCCACCTTCAGCCTGCGTCACTAATTTCCGGTGAGAGAAGCTGCCGCTGGTGGAGCTTAAACTCTCGCTGACAGCTCAGGCCCATCAGGAGCTGCCGAACAGATTCCAGAAATACAGCAGCCAAGGCTGTGCAGGAGTTCTGAGGGCTTGTGTTCTCTGTGTGTGCTGTCCTTATGTGTACTTGTGGGTCCCAAGATAGTTGCCACCTGCCCATGGCACCTGCTCTTCCCTGAGGAAATGAAACAGCCCTGTGCAAGCCCTGTGGGTTGCAATGGTTTTAGGCACAGGGACCTCAGGAAGGAGACTGAAAGGGACTTTGTCTCCAGCCTGAGAGGACTGGCTATGCTGGCATGGTTCCTGAGGTCCCCGGGGCCATACAAGTGGCCCTGCACTCAGGTACACACACTCATGTAAGTGTGCAGAAAGACACACTCTGCAGATGTGGTCAGTGTGTCCCTTTAAAGACTCACGGTGGCCTTCAAAGGTGCTGGAAGAGAAGCAGGAGCTGGGGCATGGTGGGGCTCGGGTCCCACCTTCATGTCCTGTCAGCTGTGCTCAGATCTGGGTCCTAGCCAAGGCCACTGGGCAATAAGGACTACTGGTGTCCAGAGGAAGGGACAGAGCTGCACAAGCGGCCTGTGGACATGTGGCTCACCCTGGCCGGCTTGTGCTCAGCCCGGTGTGGACAGCGTCATGGGTGAGCTGTGGTGTGGTGACGTTCTAAGGTAAAGGCCCTGCTCTTTCACTGAGGTTTTCATGAGCTACACCTGATACAATGCATCCAGTGACCTTGGGCTATCAGTTAGTTATTGCTGGGAAACAAACCATCCCAAAACTTAGTGGCTTAGAACAACAGTCATTTATTATTTTTTACGAGTCTATAGGTCAACTGGGCTGTTCTGCTCTGGCTCACTCGTGCGTCTGAGTTTGGCTGGCACGTGGCTGGGGTGGCTGCCTGGGCCCGCCCGACTCTTCTCTGTGTGTCTCCGCATCCCTTCAGCAGCTGGCCCGGGCTGTGCCATGGCGGGGCAGGGCCCGAGAGCAGAAAGGGAAATGCACAAACACTGATTCAGATCTCTCTCTGCATCAGGCTTATTACTGTCCCATAGGCAAAGCAGGTCACGTGGCCAAGGCAGGGTCTTCAAAGAGACAAAGAGCCTGGGAATAGGGAGGCCATTGCAAGGGGCCTGAAGGCAGCCAGTCCCCCTTTCCTGGGAACACTGTTTACACCGTGCTGGTTGAAAGGTGGTTTCTCCAGGCAGCGCCATGCAATAGGACTTTCGCAATGATCCCGTGTGTATGATCTACCTCTGCACTGTCCGGCGTGCTAGCCACCAGCCTGATGTGGCTGTTGAGTAGTTGAAGTGTGGCTAGTGGATCTGAGGAACTGAATGTGTAATTGTGTTTCATTTTAATCAATTGAGGTTTAAATTTGAGTAGGCATGTGTGGCTGGCAACTGGGGTATTGGACAGCCCAGATCGAGGGGCAAGTCCTCATCGGCCCCCGTGGAGGGCTGTTGTGTGCCTGGCACTGCAGCCCACTGCTGGTTTGGGCTCGGGCAGCTGCTTGGTGCTGAGCCTTCTCCAGCTTATGATGGGCAGGTGTGCATCCTGCTGTGCTCAGGGGAGGCGGGCCTGGGGCTGATGCCAGCGCTGGGTGTTTCCAGGTGGGGCTCCTGAGCCCTTTGCACATTTGCCCTGCCACTCCCTCTGATCATCGGAGGGGGTCTTTAACCTCTTCACCTTTTCTTATAAGAGACTTTGGGGCTATGGATCTCTAGGGTTCTGAGCAGGCTGAGGGGGCCCGAATGGCCTCTCTGGGAACCCAAGAGTGTTGGGTGTTGAAATTCTGGGGCCTGTGTGTTGGGGGCCCTGGATGCTGGGGCACATGTAGGGCACTGTGTGGGCCTGAGTTGGTTTCCTTTCCTCATTTTGGGGGAGCCCTGTGCAAGGCCACCTTGCCCTAGCCCTGGGGCTTGGTAAAGATGGCCCTTCCTGCTACCTGGACCTGGCATCTCCTTCCTGTCTGACTTGGTGGGCAGAGCGACACCGAGACCCCTGTGATTTGCCGAGCAAGTGGGTTTGGGTACATGGCTGTGCTCCAGGGGCCAGGCCCACGTCATGGCTAGCGTGCAGCACGGAGGCTGTGGCTTGACTGTCAGTCACACATTTGCCATCTCTAGAGGGGCTCCCAGGTTCTCATCTGGACACTGCTGTGCCTTCCCCAGGGGCCATCAGGAGGCTGGCTCCTTGAGACACAAGTAGGTGGCCGTCACGGGAACTATGGTTTCTCAGAGTCCCACGAAAATGGTCGTTGGTGATTTTCATCCCCACTTTGCAGAGGAGCCCTTCAGGCTCCAAGGGGACAGGTGATTTGCCACGGTGTTTAAGGGACTATGCTGAGTCCTGAGCGTCAGGGTTTGTGGCAGGTGCTTGGGCTCCCCCCCCCCCCGAGTGGGGACCAGGAGCCCATGCTCAGCCCCCAGTGCCCAGCCGTGACTGCGGGGGTGCTCTGCTGTCTTCCCGGCCACTGTGTGTGGTTCTCCATGATGGCTCCAATCTCACAGTCCTGCTGGAACCAGACTTGCTGGTGAGCCCTCCTCCTGCAAGACAGGCAGCCTAGGGACCCCGGCAGCAGCTTGCATGGTCCCTGCTCAGCGAGGCAGTGGAACGGACACAAAGAGAAAGTTTTGGAGAGGAACTGGTTGGGAACAAAATCTGGTTGAATCAACAGTTGGCTTTGATTTTGACTTTTGGTGACTGGACGGGCTGGGCTGTACGTGTGGGCGCCCGGGGGCTGGGGGAGTACAGCTTGTGGAATCTGGGCGGACCCTGAGCATTCTTGGAGGGTGTGACTCAGGTATGGGTCCTGCTTTCTGGAGTGTAGTGCAAGGATGGGTCAGATGAAGGCAACATCCGAGCTTTGAAAAAGTGGCCTGTGGGTTGAGACTTTGGGCTGCGAATGCCCCAACTTAGGCAAGAAAGGGAATTCACTGGCTCATGGAACTGAAATGCTCCAGAGAAACAGGCTTTAGACACAGATGGACACAGAGGCTTAAATGACGTCATCAGGACTGTGTCTTGCTCTTAGACCTGCTCTCCTCTGCCGGTTCCATTCGTAGGCATGTCTGTCTCCCTTCGGGGAAGCCAGATGGCTTTACAGGGCTGCTGCTAAGAAAAGATTTGGGCCCTGGTGAAAAAAACAGTTCACCCCCACGCCCCAGCCCTCACAAGCATAGGTCTGTACCAACATGCGGTAAAGTTGGGCTCCGGGTTCCCCTCTGACCTCCATCCCCTGGTAGCTGGTTCTGGCAGGCCTCTCTCCAGGGAGGCCACCAAAGTGCCAGAATGGAGCTTAGTGGGCCACTGTGGACCCTCCACTCATGCCTGAACCAATCAGGGTGTGAGCTTCTGATTGGACTGGAGGCAAGAGTCACCCCAGCTGGGAAGAGTGGGAGGAATGTTTCATCAAGGAAAATCAGGTCCCTGAAGCAAGACAGCATCCCAAGCCTCAGGGCAGGGGTGCTGTGGTGCAGGCTTTGTGGTCACAGGATTGGCACAGGCAGTTCCTGAGGCCGGCCAGCCCCCATCAGGACAGTCCATGGCCTTATGTCACCCTTGAGGGTCGAGAAGCCTCAGCTGCATATAGCAGCTGGGTGCTGGGCCCACCAGCACACGCAGGCTGGAGGGCAGAATTGGGGGACTAGGCCTGTACGGGGAGAAAAGGGGGGTCACGTTCTGGCCACAGGACTTGTTGGATGGCAGAATGGGCTCCCCGTGGTGGGAGATGGTCACCCAGGCTGGGCACTGGTGAAGGCTGTTGGGTCTAAATCGACATCCCACACCCTCTGTTCAGGAGCCTGCTCAGGCAGCCGTGTTTCTGGCGGAGGCCTGCTTGGGTGGGGAGCGTGACAGTCAGGCACCTTCCCCGGTGCCCTTCCCACTTACAGACGATTCTCTCCTCCTTCTCTTCTCCCGCTGCTCAGATATCCGTGGGCTCCAGAGCTTCCTGGACCAGGCCTCGCGGCTGGGCCTCGACGTCTCTTTGCAGAAGGTGGACAAGAACATCAGCCACGTGTTCACCAGCCTCTTCACCACCATGAAGACGGAGGAGCTGAACCGCTACAGAGACACGCTGCGCCGCGCCATCCTGCTGCTCAGCCCGCAGGGAGCTCACTCCTTCATCAACGAGGTAGGTCGGGGCCCAGGCTGCAGGGCCTGGTGCCCAGCGCGCCACAGGGGATGGCCCAGGTGGGCTGCAGGGCGCCGTCCTCTTGCGCATGGCTGAAATGGACCCGGGGCCACCCGGTGCTCGGCCCACAGCACCCCACCACAAAGGGGGAATGCTGAGCGTGACTTGGCTCCTGCCTGTTCCCCAACAGGTGACCCAAGGCCGCTTAGACTCCGAGAGGCTGTGGGGCCACCGGCAGGAGCGGAGTCTGTTTGCAAGTCCCCGCCAGAATTTCTGAGGCAAAACGCAGGCTGGTTCTTTTTTTCTTTTTAATTTTCCTCTCTTTGTTGACAGGTGTAAGCTCTAGGGATAAGACACATTCCCAGCTCTCTGCAGAGGTGGGCAGGTCTGCCTGGGGATCTGTTAGCATCTGGAGGAGGTATCTGTTGCATATTGTCACTGGATACATTATCCATGCTTATATTTTTGGTGCTTGGACTAATCAGTGTGTGTTTCTTTTAAAAACACCTCCGTTAGGGGTTAGGACCGTCTAAGGAAGACAGGGCCTGCTAGTTCAACAGAGAATCCATTAATTTGAGAACATACAAATTAGAAGTACTCTATGAGCTGGCTGATTGGTGCTGCCCCAGTGGTCTACTGGCAGAGAGGTGACAAGCTGGGATTGGCAGGTCTCTCTCTGGCCTGGGTGGCCTTGTGGTGGGGCGGTGAGCTGGGGAGGTGGCGTTTCTGGGGGCAGGTCGGACTGAACGGGTCACGGGGCAGCCGAGTGCTTCCTGCAGATTGTCCAAACAACCCAGCCACCTTGTTGTCCTCTCTGATTGAAAGCAGAATGCAGTGAAAGGCAGCATCAGCCTAATTTCATCTGCCGTAGTTTGCTTGCTTACTCCGCTCCCCTCTACTTGATTGCTACTCAAAATGCTGCCTCATGCCTCGGGCGCCAGCACGAAGCCCACTGCTGGAGAACTGAAAATTCGGAACGCTTAAGTTGGTGCAGTTGGCTGGCGGCCGAGATGTCGTGTCCAATCAGGTCCTGGCTCATGCTGGTGGTCAGCCAGGCTGTGATGTCCCCTCGGCCCTGGGCACTTTCACCAGAACACGTCTGCCTGGATGAAGTGGTTCAGGCCAGTCATGGGCAGCTCGGGACCAGCAGCGTGTCCTTCTCAGAGTGTGCCCGGAGTGCATTTGCCAAAGTCTGCTCACGCGACAGCTTTTCTTCTCGCCATGCGCTCCCAGCTGGGGTCCCCCCTGGTGACAATGTCTGCTCAGGTATCACCAGGCTCCTTCCTTCTCTCCTCCCCCCCCCCTTGCCACCGCTCTGCTGTGGAGGTTGGGACTGGAAGGGAGTGAGCAGATCTGGGGTAAAGTCCCAACTCCCCCACTTACTATTTGGCTCACTGTCTTAGCCTCAGTTTCTTCATCTGTAGAGTGGGGATGAAGGAGATGACAGCTAGGATAAAGCATTTGGCACACAGCTGCTCAAGAAGCATTAGTTTTCTTTTCACTGCACGTATTCGTGCATTTCCCTTCCAGAGGAATTTGGCCCCTTCCTGTTTCTGGGCTCTGTGAGGAGTTAACACGTAACTAAGACTGGCCTAAAGATATTATTTCCTAGTGGTTAATTATGCAAACTCCTGCAGTGTTGGATACGCTTGGCTCAGCTCTGCTTGCCTTCTCAGCCCCAGGCTGTGTTTGCAAAGCCTTCGGGTTGCTGGGTGCTTTGGGGCTGGGGTGACTCCAGAGTGGCCACTCTTACAGTCCATTAGCCAGTCCCTGGGGGGGACCGAGGGGAAGGGCGACATCTGGACTGCGGCCAACTGCCCCCACTGTTGTCCTCAGTTCCAGTGGATGAGAGTCTTGGTGTCGGGTCCCATGTGCCTGCTGCTGGGAGGGGAGGAAGCACGGTGGGTGGGCCTGTCTCTGTGTGCATTCTCCAATCCTCATACTTTGTAGATGAGCAAATGGTAAAGCTAAAGAAGTTTGGTGACTTGCTTAAGGTCACCCAAATAGCCAATAAGGGACTGAAAAGGGCTCAGGTCCAGAGCTGGCCCTCGAGAGCCCTCTCTCCCGGAGAACTCCGCGTGCAGCCCTGCGCTGGCCGGACTGGGGAGGGTGCGGCCCCTGCCGCTGGCCAGAGTCTGGCAGAGGCGTTTAGGGTGCTTATGCGCAAAGAGTTCTAATGTATCCCCTTGGTGTGGTGGGGAAGGACTTGGACTTTGGAGGTGACGATGACCTGTCTGGGTGGCTAGCCCGGCAGGTCCCCTAGGAGACACCTGGGAATGCCATCCCTGCACGAAGGCTTGTCAGTGCCTGGAGGCATTGCTTGGGTTTTTTGAGCAGACTGGACCAACTTCCTCTTTGTTGTGACAAGGATGGACGGTATTCACAAGGGTAACTCACTGTTAGAACATGTCCCGAATTTTCTGAAACTCAAAGCGCTGTTATGGAGATGTAAATGGCCTCTCAGCCCCCACTGCCATCAATTACATTTAATAAATCAATATGGTGCTCGGTCGGGACGGCATGGATGAGCTGCAGCAGGCATGGGTACGTGGTCTTCCCAGCAGTAGCTTCTCCCCTGCCCTGCGTGAAAGACCTGGCCAAGTGGGAGCGAGGGAGGAAGACGGATCTGCCTGACTCTTTGACATTTTGCTGAATGGCATCCGTTCTTTGGGCGGCTCTTGGCCTGGAGGGTGCATGGCACCCTCCGAGATCCCACGTTAGTAGGGGCCGCACTGGCCAGGGCCGCAGGTTTGGGGAGCCTGGCCTTGGCAGTGGCTGGGGGGAGGCACTGCAGCAGGCCGAGGCTCTGGGCCCTCCCTACGGCCCTGTGGGCTGGTGGGACAGGCCCTACCTCAAGACCCCTCACCAACTGTCACTCTGTCTTGATCCCACGCACCCTCCTCTGAGACCTTTCCAGCACAGTCTTAGCAGCTGCTGCAGCAGGATATCAGCTTACAGAGGTGCTGAGAGGCCACCCTAGGGGAGGCTGAGTCAGGGGGTGACAGCACTCACAGCCCCTCCTCCAGCGGGGCTCGTTTCTCTCTGGGCTTGGCCTTGGAGCTCTCTCTGAGAGTGGGTGGCTCTTTGCAGTCATGGGGGAGTGGACTGGACTCGTGGGGTCCTCAGCTGGGTCTTGCTTCTCCTCTGGGCCACTGGCTGCCAAGGTGGGCTTCAGTGGACAGTGACAACCACCTGTGACGTTCTCTCATGCAAGCCTGTCAGCTGGCTCACCAGCCTAGAGGTGGGGTCGCCTCTGCACTCCAAGGCCATGAGATTCCTGAAGGGACCAAGGCGGCAGCTGCCGAGAGGGGCCAAGGGCAGAGGCCTTGGACTGGGAGTCCTGCGGTGGCTGCGGAGCCTTCTCCCTCCTGCTCTTGGTTCCTCTGTCCACTTCTCCAGCATTTGATGAGCCCCGGCCTGTGCCAAGTTCTGTGCTTTCACAGGGCTCCCAGCCTGGTGGGGCAGGCAGAGGTGTGGACAGACCCCTTCACCTGCCTGGCAGAGGTGTGGGCTGGGTCTTGAGAGAGCATCAAGGATGCAGGAGTTACTCTGGCCAGGAAGAGCTGGGAGGGACAGAGGGCCACACTTCCTGGAGTAGGTAACACCAGGGCTGGATCTCCAGGAATGCGCTTGCACTAACCCTGTGGACGAGGGAACGGGGAGGGGGCTCAGGAGCCGCCAGTGCATTCAGGACTTGTGTGCATGCAGTTGCAGCCGTGGTGTGCAGGCCAGGGCGTGGCTGGGGCTGACTCTGGGATGTCAGCAGGAAGAGCTCCCCAGGTTGGGGTGAGGAATCCAAACTTCAGGACTGGATTTTTCTTAGGGTCCTTTTCAGGGTGTCAGAGATTAACAGCCTACAGTTTATGTGTCTTACTACATTTGTTCTTTTCTAGGTAGGTTTGAGGGAGAGACTCTAGTCCACAGTCTATTTTGGCTCTTGGGAGTCAGTCTATCTGTCCATCTATTCATCCATCCTTCCATCCATCCATCTTCCACCCACCTAGCCAGTGCCAATTGGGAGCCTCCTACGAACCAGGAACCACGTTAAGTACTGAGTGGATCACCAAGTACACGGGCGGTGCCTCCTCCCGAGGCTAGGCATGACGTCAAAGGTATGGCCACGCCATGGCCACGCTTCTGCTGGGCATTCCCAGGGGCTGGCAGAGAGGCTGTGCCCCAGGGCTCTCGTCCACCAGGGCCTGTTCTGAGGGTGTGTGGGCATTTGGGACTTTGTCCTTTCACCTCTCACCTTTCACCTTTCATTGCTCATTCACGGTTTCCAAGCCTCTGTCTCTATTGTGCAGAGGCCTCCATCTTTCCTCTGGTTTCCTCAGTGTTTCTCTCCTTCTTGGTCTTTTGTTTCACTGGAAAGAGTAAAAAAATCGACTATCTGAAGCCATTTGTGTACCTTGTGGAGAGGAGTTGCTGCTCCTTCTTCCTAGCTCATGAGGAGTCAGGCGCAGCCTGCTCAGCCCCGGCGGCCGGGCACTGTTTCTCTGTGTCCTGCAGATTGGGCAATCTGTGCCTCCCCCTGGAACGTGCCACCCCCAGGGCCAGGAGCTGTGTGGCCTTCACCATTTTATCTTCCAAGAGCAGCATGAAGCCTGGTCCACGCAGCTATTGAGGGAATGAATGAATGGATATTTTATATTTCATATCCCCAGTAGAAAGGGCCTAAAGCTAGGCTTTTTGTGTGCACGCCTTGGTTGTCTTTTTGGCTGGTCAAAAGGCCAGCCTGTCAGCAAGGGTTTTGGTCTTAAAACTCTGGCTTTTGGGAAGGCTTACGTTTGCCCAAGAACTGTGTCTTGGGCCTGGGTGGGCCAGCGAGTGGGGCCTTGGCTGCTCCTGCAGGTGGGACGATCCCAAGCCAGCGGCAGCGCGTGGCAGGGAGCGCGAGTGCCGAGATGGGTGCACTGCGGAGGGTGTGTGGTGAGCAGTGCGGGCAGGTGTGGGAGACCGGGCACGCATGTGGGCACACACACAGACACGGGCTGATCCAA